GCCGAGCTGCAAACTGGTGTGTCTTACTGTGCGTCACCCAGCCATGCCGATGTCACAGGCATACCCGTGTGAGGCTTGTATCTGCCACCTCAGACCACGAGCTCATCCAGACAGGGCCCGCATCTTCTCCATCTCTGCCCTGCTTCCTGACTCCAGGCATGGTATAAAACAAGGTTTCGCATCTCGTCTAAAGTTATGCTCTGATTTCTGGCATCTTCATCAGGTCAAGATGCCCTAGCTGGGAATTGGTCACAAATGCTATTTAAAATATGCTTTGTCAAATTAGTAATAACATAACATCAAAAATAAAATAACTGCCTGGTGGTGTAGGCAGGTTCAACTGCATTTGTAGATCATGGACTGCTGATCCAGGAAGCAGCTCCCTCTGCCCCTTTCTTCTCCCCAGATCTGGCATCACTCCTTCTACCAGATCCTCCACATCGCCCCGGAGCAGCATCCTGTGATGGTGACAGAGCCACCTTTGCATACAACATCCAGCAAAGAGAGAACCACGCAGGTAAGAGGGTGGGTGTAGGCTGTGCCAGCGCAGCCCAGGAGCTCAGCACTGAGCCTCCTCCTGAGCCCCTGGAGTAGCCTCAGGCCCTTACCTCTCTGCTCAGCAAGATAAAGACTCAGGGCGAGAGATGTCCTCAGGAGTGATGGCTACCATTAGGCAGCTTGCCAAGTGGTCAGGCACCGGCTAGGCATTTAATGTGAGTTATTTCATTTAGACTTCATAGCCACTCTGTGGGGTGGGGCAGGAAGGGTGCTTATCCCCTTTGTGCAGATAAATAAATTGGAGCGGCAGGGAGCCTAAGTAATTTGGCAGACTTGCCTAGACCAGGTGTTTGATTCTGTAGCTTCGTTCTCAGCCACTATTCTGGTGTGTGTGTGGGGGCGAGGGGGGCCTTCAAAAAGTTCATGGATGATACCCATGAAAAGACTGTATGGATTTCAAAAACGTTTTTTTCTGCAAATATTCTGAGATCCCCTCGTATGGCCTACTTGGGGGGGGGTCTCATTTTTATTTAAAGGCTCCTAGTCCTCTCTGAGCTTCACCCTGGGCCTGTCCCTCAGGAAGGAGTTGGTGACATATGCTGACTGGATGGCCCTGGACCGAAATGGAATGTGGAGCCTGGCAATGGCCCAGACTGGCAAAAAAAAAAGGGTGCCCAAGTGCACACCGCAGAGGCCTTCATGGGGTGGAGCGAGGGCCAGCTGTGTGGGAGGGCTGTCAGGGCTGCCGCTGGCCGCGCCTGTTCCCATCACATCAGGTTTCTCCTAATGAGTACGTCAGTGAGCTCATTAAGCCAGCAGCAGGACTCAACCACCTGGCCCAGTGTCCCTGGGGCCCAGCAGGTTCTCTGCAGTGAGTGGCAACCCAAAGGGTGGGCCTGGGGGCTGAGGCTCCACCTGCACACAGTGGAGGCACACGCTGCAGCCAGAAATAGCGCCATCCACACCATGCAGGTGCGAGCTGCTACTTCATTGAACTCTGGGGACTGTGATACAGCGGGCACCCACTGTGGGAATGTCAAGTGCCCCCAGAGACCTTGGTGAGCTGGTGAAAAAGAAGGAAAAGGGAGGGCAAAACAGTCCCTCACCCCAAGGGAACATGCTGCTCCCCAGCTGTGTCAGTCAGGGCTCCCCAGAGAAATGGACCAATAGGGTGTGTGTGAGTGTGTACACGGGGCCATCAAAAAGTTCATGGAAAATACATATAATGGAAAAACTATGCATGATTTCTAATTTATTTGTACTAAAATAAACTCATGTTTTAATTCCAGTCTCATCAAGCAGTGTCACCAGCTTGTAGGCGAATCACTTGCTCACTCAGTCAACTTCACAAAGGCAGGATTTTGCCATGCCCTAGAGTCCATCAACCTGTGTTCACATCCACCTCTGCCACTGCTCACTCACATTCTGGTCCACTGGACTCTCATGTGGACAATGGAAGTGGCTATCATGTTCTTTGGAGGGCTTCCCATGGGCAGAGCAACCAGGTTGTATCTGACCTGCTCACTCGTACCTCTGGTATGCAATTGGCTCCCAGTTAATACCCTTGAACAAACCATATGTATGCAAAGTGTCTAGCATGTAGTTAACACACAGTAGCTGCTGACTGCAGTTGTTTCATTATTATGAAACAGGCAGTCATGCCAAGTCAAAATGCCAGGATTTCTGTCAAGCCTGCATACAAGGGCAGAGAGGATAATGCATCCAGTGAGAATAACAGTGGCTTCCTGGTGGCTTTGGGGAAGGCAGGCTTGTCCTGATCATGACAAAACAGCAGTTTGTAAGACTTTGCTATATGCCCTAATATAACCAGTTCCTACACATGCCTAGAAGGTACCTGGAAGGGTATGAGCCCATTTACAGACTAAAAAACTGACGCTGTCCCTGATCTAGTCAGGCAGAGTGGGGTGAAGAGTGACATGCTTTCTGTCCCTGTGGTCTAGATCACTCTGGGGGAGCCACGTGACTTCTGCAGTGAAGATTCAGGTTGCACCTGAGTAATTAGGGAAGCCCACCCCTCTCCTGCCTACCAGTGATCACAGATGTTTCTCCATAGATCCTGTTCGAGACCTTCAACATCCCTGCCTTGTGTTTAGTCAACCAAGGAGTCCTTTCTCTATTTGCCTCTGGCCAAACTTCTGGTAAGTGGCCCTGCAGAAGCCCTGTCCTTTTGAGCTCATGCTTTCTGTCCCTTTGGCTGGTGACATTCATCACAGTGGGCAGCCTACTCTCCCTGACAGATAAAGAAAGAAAAAAAAATCCCTAACACTTGTCTTCAGCCCCTTCCCTAACTCCTTCCCTTTTCATACTTCCTGGGTAAACAATTCACTCCCAGAATTTAAGAATTTGCTGGACTCACCTTTCTTTCTTAACAGTTTTACTGACAATCGCATGTATTTAGACAAGTTGATGTTTTGATGCATGAATATACCCATGAAACCATTGTCACAACCAAGATATATTCATGGCCCATATCCATGGCCCCTAGAACATTCCTTATCACCCACATACTCTGCTTCCTCCAGTCTATCTCCAGACAAACAATAGTTTGTCCCTATAAACCAGTTTACATTTTCCAGAAGTTTGTATAAATGGAATTAGGCATTATGTACTTTTGTGTGTGTATCTTTTATCTTCAGCATATTTTTTGATTTATAATAGAGCCTATGGACATGCATTTGAAAGTGAGAGAGAGAGAAAGAGATGAGCACCTTCCATAGGATCTGTTCATGACACAATCCCCTTCCTTCAGTCTTCCAGCCCATAGGATCTTAGGCATTTATGCATGAGTTCAGCGAGTTTCAGGTTCTTAGGGCCTGGCATTTGAACCATGGTCACCATGTGGGATCTGGTTTCCCTTGAGCAGTGCATAACCACTGAGCTGTGGAGATAGCCCCTTACTCAGGATAATTATTTGGAGATTCACCTATGCTGCGAATCTCTTCCTTCCTTCCTTCCTTCCTTCCTTCCTTCCTTCCTTTT